CTTACTAGGGCCTCCCTTAGAACTTGAACTGTATCTTTTTCTGGTCATTTGGAAATTAAAAAAAAATTATTATTCAAACCCTTTAATTATTAAGTATTATTTTGATTATTAATTAAATTGTTCTTAAAGTCGTATCCATTCTAATTGCCAAAAATTCTAAATGAATTTACTTTCTGCTACTTGCTTCCTTAATTGATTAAGTATATTGATTAAAAATTTTTTTTTAATTAAGCATATCAAAATTTGCGATAATAGGTTATTTAAATTCCCATTAACTATTTTATTTTGTTGTCCAAACGATTATTTATAATCATTAAAACTCAAAATAATCTGATTCATTTAATGATAAACTATAACAGTAATATATATTCCAAAAGATTATTTTCAAATCTATATCCTATATTTTATTGAATGATCTTCACTGCCATCAATTATAACTGAGCCATTTTCTAATAATCTTAAATAAAAATATTCTATTATTACCTTTTAATATGATCCAGAAACAAAATTATCAGATACTTTATTAATTAGGATAAATTATCGTTGATTTATGGAATTGCAAATTTTATATCTCCTTAAGTTTTCCGCCATTATATTCCGTTATATTGTCTCTTTACTATGAGTTGAAGCCAATATTAAATCACTGTTTTTTTAAAGTAGAATTTGTTACTTATCTCTTCGAAGAATTCCTGATCTTAAGGGAGATTAACTCTTCTAATCCATTCCTAAATTTTGATTTGTTTTTTATTTCTATAATCTTCTCTTCCAATTTCCCATTCGTATTCTATTTGATTGTATACAAAATGTTGGAGATTTTGAATATTTAGACTTAAGTTATTGCTCATAGTTATCTTTTCTAATCACAAAGGTATTTATTTGTTCCCATTGAATAGTAGTGTAGGTAGATTTGTCTCAAATAGGAGCCTTCTTACTTTTCTTCATACTTCCCCTCTCAGTCATTCATATTCCGAGTTATTAAAATTTTACCACTCTCTAAATCTTAATAGTACTGGGTCAACATTTTCTTTGTTGATTAATTCCATTCAGCAAAGTTGCACCGAAAAGAGGAGAGGTGATGAATATGAGACAAATCCTGGCACAAAGTCATCTTATAAAATTTATAAAATGACTCATGTGGAAGCTATCAAAATAATAAATAACACCCACATGATCAAGAAAGATGGATTCTTAAGCCAACAAAGCCTTTATATTCTCTTTAAAATTTATGATAATTTGTTTATCTACGATACTTTGACCAAAGGTAAGATGAAGTTTAAAAGTGGAGTGTAATAGGGATCACAACTAAACCCGTTTCTTTATAACAGATTCTTTGATCATTTTTATCAATACCTAGAAGTGTGGCTAACAGTAGAGGGAAATCAGAAATATCAAATAGAAGCCACTAAGAAAATAACTATTCAAAAGCAGCTTAATTATGTTTGGTTCGTAGTATCACACCCTTTAGACTTTTAACTAGGCTGTGTATTTTCTATTTTATATTTCATATCAGATACCTCAATTTAGCTATTTGGATTTAGAAGATGTCACAAGAGCTTCAGAAATAATATCCTTAACGGGTTACTAGGGTTACTATAAAATGATTGCAGAGAAGATGGGTACAACAACAGATAACTGGAAACCTGTTTATTTAGGAAAAACTACTTTGAGTAGAAGGATTTTAAAAAGAGCTCAATAGTAAAATCCATTAGTGATGCTTTGACATATGATGAAGGAATTAAGAAAGGAAAGTGGGTTGAATTGAATAATGAGTTTCTTACTTAAAAATGGTTACATATTATTGGAAATACATTAATGATTCAAAAATTGGTAGATGGGACATTTTGTTTTAGAAGCCATTAAAAATAACAATTATTAAATGTAGAAAAATTGAATTACTATTTTTATATTGTCAACCATAGTATTATTATTAATTACAATTGGTAGATTTAAAAATGAAAACTATAAAAAGGCAAAATTTTCCTAAGCATTTTAAAAAATCTTAATAAACTGTTCTTCTAGGCACATGATATCAATTTTATAGAATTTAAAGATAAGCCCTCATAAATAATTGGGAAAAATTACTTTATGAAATAGTATGGCTAAAGAATTCACTATTAGCTTGCTTTCTTCAATACTAAATAGAGTTTAGTTTGATATTGGAATATTAATTGCAAACTTAAAAGTAATTTTCTTTTAGGGAATAAGCGAAAAGGTATGATTCTATTTTTCCCTAAATTTAACTGCTATGGCGTTTATCTTCCATTTAATCAAATAATCTAAGCACTATAATTAATCATTATACAATAATTATCACTAAGCTTGAAATAACTACTGAACAAGTTTTATTTGGTTTAATTATAGATTAAATATACTTTTAATCCGTAAAAATAAATTAACCTATATGAGATTTTTAAAGTATTTAAACTTGATTGTAAATTCTTTCAATTGTATTTTATTTTATAACATAAAAGCGTTTATGGATTTGTACTTCAAATCACCAAAATTATCCACCTTTTGAAATTGCTCTGCGCCTAATATGCTACAAATTCTTTAAAGTCTTTCTGCAATTCTAAACGCTCCATTTTCCAGCTTTTTATGATATAAATCATCATTCTGCCCAAAAAGAGTACTGCATTTTTTTTCCTTGTATCATCCTATGCAAATTTGAGATAAACTCCTGATTATTCAAAGTTTACTGGATTATGTAAGTGAAAATTGTAACTTATAAGATAAAAATCTGGAAGACAATATTTTAGATGATAATTATTTAATTATATTATGATTATTTTAACAGTATTTTAAAAAATCTACTAATTTGATATTCCTTTTTCCAAAACATGAATAAAAGTGCTATAATATACTTCGAGAATAGTTTAATGATTAATCTGTTATTGGTGAATTTATTTAACTAAAACTTTCATTAAGCAGGCAATTCATTTTGATCAAAATCTAACTTTCAAATTTAAATTACACTTAAGCTCTCTCCAAAATCTAAAAGTAATTCTTCATCTGACTTCTTTTTAATATTAATGGTAGCTCAAATAAAGTGTGTTAAGTTGCTTTAGGCATTTCTATTCTTTTTGATTATTACCTTTCGTTTGTCTTAGAGTTTTCCAAACAGTATTAATATCCAATAATTATGTTGATTTTATTAAATATTATGCCAGATATATTAATAATTTAGTTTAGAAAGCGGATGCTTGTTCCATTACCATTTACATTCCTTATTATTACTAAATTAAATTTTCTTCTTCATTTCTAGGTCTTTATATAAATAAAAAATTTTCAATCTATTCTGTTATACATCGTAGTATTACAGTGATAGAATCATTGATTGATTACAAAGACCCTACTTTTTATTGAAATTATTCAATTTTTTTTGTTTTTGCCATAATCTTCCTTTCAATATCATCTTTATTCTTTTTATTTTGTCAATCAATAGAAGTGATTACCACTATTCTTTGATTTTGTTTAAATGCATTACTGCTAAAAAACTGCTTAAATTCTAAGCATTTATCTTTTTTATATATATCCTACTTTTTTCTGTTCTAAAATTTAACTAAAATTGCGCTTTCTAATATATATAAATATAAATGAATTAAAATAATTTTCTATGCTTTGAACATCCTAAGAATGAAGTGACTCATATTTGTTTAGGAAAACATAGCTGCAATAGATTGCTCTGTGAAAATTGCTTGAATTTACACTAAACAAACAATATAAGAGTCTTGCCTATGGCTCATTTTATTTAGGAATGGAGTACCTATACATTTCAATTAAGGCTTATTAAAATCGAGTGTTTCTGAGAATTCAAAACTAAGGGCTATATAAATCAAACAAATCTACTAAAATTTTCTCTATGATGTGAGAGAAAACTTCAAAAAAATTAATGATTTGATTGATAAGGCGAATATAGAATTTGAAAAGTTAATATCCAAGTAGAACTGTTTCGATGAGTTTTAAAATAAAAATACCAACTTTTTATTAGAATTTCAAGAATAAAATTTACTTCAAGCTTGGGGATTATTTAAATCAAATTAATTAGAAAGTGTCTAGAATTTATATGCTTCTTTTGAAAAAGGTGCTAAAGAATTCAACAAGCTTTTAAAAGCCAATTTAAATGTCATAAGTGCCATTCAAATTTTAAAATTAAACTAGCAAAGTTAAAAAACAACATTGTAATAAAGTTATTAATTCTATTGTTATGGAGATAATTTTTAGGATTATTAAATTACAAATTTTTAAATTAAATAAATTGGGGAGTAAGAAATAGGTTTCATTAAGGAAGGACAGGTTTTAAAGATGTAATGTTTATGATTATAAAAATAGTCAAAAGATTACTGATAATTACAAAGACGAATGTATTATCAAGAATTTAGAGTAGATTAAATATAGCGAGTTCAGTGAAGTAGAAATTGATAAGAACCCTAAAACTAAAAAAATGGAAGTTAGATGGAAAGGAGAGAATTTCAATATAGGAGGCTTTGCTAATTAAAATAATAATAAAATTGGACAATGGAGAGAGTATTTTGGAAATTTTTGGGAGTAATGATAAAGAATAATTATTAGTAATTCAAAAATAATTAGTGTTGGATGCTATTTTAAGGGCAAAAGATTTTAGAAATGGGAAGAAAAATATGTTGAAAATTGGAAAAATAATTACATAGTAGAAGAAGATTAAAATGAAAATGAATAGAATGCTATAGATAATTAGATAAAATTAGAATAAGAATCGATAAATTAATATATTCTAGGAGGAGGATATTACGATGAACAAGGATTAAAAAATAGTAAATGGATAGATTTACACAGCAATTTCAATAGGTTATTGTTTAATTTCTAAGATTTAGATAAATGCAAATCATTTATAGAGGAGAATATGAGCATGATAAAAAAATTGGAGTTTGGGATACAATATTCAACAATAAATTAATGTATATAAATTCTCAATTCTAATAGTGGAGGTGGATGTTATTATTAATAAGGTATAAAAAATGGAAGGTGGATTGAACATCAAGCAAAATTTAGTGAGTATTAAATAATCTTTAGTCCATCAGATTTTCTTAAGTCATTTATGTTGGTGAGTATAGATAAGGAAAAAAACACGATTAATGGAATGCTATGTACAGAGAGAACTTATAGTCGGAATATAAAATTGTGTAAATTTCTAATTTCTATAAATCAGTGGAGGAGGATAATATAATAAAAATGGAAAAAAGTATGGAATGTGGGATGAGCTACCTTCAAATTATGGAGCGTATGTTTAATCTGATATTATATTTAAACATTAGTAATTTTATAGGAAAATATAATGGATTATATGAAGATGGAAAGAAATAAGGAAAGTGGGATATCCTTTTTGAAAATTAAGTAATGTAAAAGTATTTAACTCTATTTGCAAAGCGGTGGAGGAGACTATAATAATGACGGAATAAAGACAGGAAAATGGATTGAACTGATGGATAACTTTTATAAGTAATTTTATATCTCTAAGAACTTCAGTTAATCCTAAGTTATTTATGTAGGAATGTATTAAGATGGAGGGAAAATTGGGCAATGGTAAACACTGTATAGATGGAATTAAACCAATTAATTTACAGAAATGTAAGTTTGGTACTAAATCATTAGTGGAGGGGGTTTATATGATAAAAAGAGTAAGAAAAAAGGGAATTGGATTGATATACATGAATAATTCTGGAAGTACTATGATAAGCATAATAATTTAAAAGTTGGATGTAGGTTAAATTTATTGGCGGATATTATAAAGGATTGAAAGTAGGAAAATGGGATACTATATATGATGAGAAAGTTATGTAAAATAATTAATTATTTCAGAGGAGGAGGTTTATATAATCAAGATGAAATTAAGATTGGCAAATGGATTGAGTTGGCTGAAAATTATAATAAGTATTTTTATTTTGTTCTAGGGTGTAAGAGCTTGTTTAGTAACTTTTACTGGTGAATATCAAATAGGAATAAAATCAGGAAGATGGAATATTTTAAATGAAGATTAAGTGATGTAAAAATAAATAATATAATTAAGTGGAGGTGGTGATTATAATTAAGAAGGAAAAAAGAATGGATAATGGATTGATTTACATGAAAATTTTAATAAGTTTAATTAATTTGTTAATTTTTAAAGCAATTGTGTAGTCACATATTCAGGCATTTATTCTAATGGAGTAAAATAAGGAAGATGGGATATTACCTATTAAAATAATGTGATGTAATTATATTTCAAATTAACATAAGTGGAGGTGGTTGCTATGATGAGTAGGGCAGAAAATTTGGTTAATGGATTGAGTTAGATGAAAAATTTAACGATTCTTGGCTAAATCCTTGTAAAATAATATACAAAAGGGAATATTCGAATGGAATGGCAAAATCTTTTGGCTAAAAAGAGGTATTAATTTGAGTTAATAACATAAAATTCAAATTAATAATCATAATATTTTTAATTTAGTTTATCCTTTAAGCTTACTATTGTTTCATATTAAATAAATAACTATTAGTTTTAATATTCAAAATTTTGATTTATCAAGTTGAAAAAATGAATTTAGGCACTTTGCAATTAGTTGCCGTAAATTACTAAAGATTAGAATAAAGAAAGTTTTTTGAGATTCACATAAGGCTGCAAGATCCAAACTCATACTTTATCGTTTTTCAGAAGAGTTTTAAAAATTTAGTAAAAATGGGTAAATGTATTGGTTAGGTTTGAAATTATGGGATGTTTGATGATAAGAATTTATCTATATCAATCAACATCTACTTAGTATCATATTGAAAAACTTCATTTTTTGTTATTTTTAAAATGTAGTAATTTAAATGTTTCTTAAATCTTATATTGATAATTTTATAAAAACTAGCATTAACTATAATATTAATAAAGATGAAAACAAAAATTTAAAAATTGATTTTTCTGATATTGTCTGAAGCAATTATTTTAAACTTTCAATTACAAGCTATTTCAGACAATAAATTAGAAATAAATGAGAGGAAAAAAAAGCGACAGCAGTGATGAGATATAGTTTTTTCTTCAAGGTAAAGTATTAGTAGCTCCTTTTAATACATAGGATTAAAAGTGTTTTGTAGTGGCGGCTATATAAATTTCAAACAATGAAAAATATGTTGCCATGATTTATTAGATTTAAGCGATCTAATTATTTCTCTAAGTATGGGATCTAGAAAGCTAATAATAAATAATTAATTAGAAGTTTGGTACAATGATTCATAGAGAAATTAAAATTTAATTTTCTGGGGATTCTGAAGTGATAGGAATTAATTAAAGGCTTAGATCTGAATAATCCACTTAAATATATTTCTTATAAGTTAAAACTGAAAAGGTAACTGAATTGGTAATACCTGATTTTTAATCTTTAATTTCAAGTGAATTTGCAATCAATTATACGGGAAACAAATGCATAATCAATTAATATGATCTTTTTTATGTTTTTAATAGTATTTGGGACAATTAAAACTATAATTACAAATATTCAAGTATCAATAACACAATAGGTTATGATGTTATATTTAAATTTTCATTTTTTTATGACATTTTCTATCTATTTTAAAAAGGGTAACAAAAATTAGAGTTATGGACTTGCTATAAAGACAACAAGGTCAAGTAAATTGCCTCCTATTTTGATTCTTATTTCATAGATGATTTGTAAGAGATGGAATCAAATAAACAATTATTAGTTAATTATAAGGCAAATATTTGGTCAACTAACACCGTTGTGATAATATATCTACCTAAATTTAGCATAATTAGAAAAATTTCACTTAGTTCTCATTATAAACACTCTGATATACTTACTTTACTACCTAGAACCGACTTGATTTTACAATTAAAGCACAAATAAAGAAAAAGAGTTGATGAGTTCATGGTTTTCAAACAACAATAAGACAATTATCATGAATCTTTTGCAAAATTAACATTCACATAACCAGAAGCCAAAGTTTTGTATGCTCCAATATTAATTGAAGAAAATTCTTTTCTTTTAATTTCCAAAAGCCAGTTATTGCAGGTGATAAAAGACAGAGTTGAAATTTATTCATTCAAAGCAGTTTGATGATTATCAAATAGGAATTGATTTTATAATATATTAGAGAATTAATCAAACAAAGAAATAATATATAAATATTATTGTACAGTTTAGTAATATTATTTGTCATTCTTTAAAAGATAATATTAAATAGAATATTATTGCAGAAATATCATTTAAATTTAAGATTACAGATGAAAAAGAGATTTATAATTTAATTTAGAGTCTCCATAATTAATTTAAATATCACCTTCACTCTGCAGTATATTAGATATATATGAAATTGATTAATTTGATCCCATTCAATCTGATTAATAGGTAAAAATAATTTATTAAAAGAATTCCTTTAGGTTTTCCTTAATCAATAATTTAATTTAAATCAAATTTCAATAATTAATCAACCATATAGATTTGTTTGATTGTTTGTTAAAGATAAATAAATTAATGATTAACATTTCTATATCAAGGTATATATTCTTTCAAGTGCTTCAATCAGAAAGGATTTAAGAATAAATAAGAGATTGGCATATAAACTTAGAATAAGTAACCTTTCAAAATTAGAATGTGGAAATTGAACAATATACCTAGAAAGAGCAAAACAATAGCAATGGTAAAATTATTAAATAATAAAATATAGAAGAGAAAGAGAATCAAGTAAATTGATTAATATGGAGTGATTTAAACTTAAATTTAATAGAGAGTCTCATATATTTCATCATATAGCATTCTTAAAAAGCAATCTCTTATTATTTCTACATTAAAGAATATAGGGAATTATAATTAAATAAGATTTATATAATAAATTTCCAATAACACCATTTTATCATCGATAATTAATAAGCTAAAACAAACTTCAAAAACAGAAAGAAACAAAAATTTTATTCAATTTCTCTATGGCTATATCGTAATAAAGTACATTTTTAAATATTTGCTGGTACAGCCATTTTTAGATAGATTAAATAACTACTCACGATATAAAATAGAGATCAATTTTATATTATTTCATTCTATTATTCTACTTTGATTTTAGAAGTAAATTATTATGATTTAACAGCTCTTTCTTTTGGCATATTAGGTAATAAATTACTTTTGAAATCTAAATATATTTTAAATTTTAATTCATTCAAATCATATGCTTAATCGCCTAATTATATTGCTCTTTACAGAAATAATCATTTGATGCTCAATTTGACGGGTTTATCATATTTGAACAATCTGATAAAGAATATTGTTTAATCAAACAATACATATGAATTTAAGATTTATTAACAGTCAGATAAGAAAAAGTTGTTTCAGACTTTGAATCAATTAATTTGATTTTTAGGCAAATTCAAAGATTTTGATAAACAAAAACTATAGCTTTCAGTTTTATCATAATAATCAAGGCTTCCTCCTAGCTGACTTAACCTCATTTATTCTATATTTTTTATTTTTAAAGAATTCAATCAAATCATATAATATAATAAAGCAAGAAATTATATTAAGAATATCAATTTTTCAATTTATAATTAGTTGATAAGGCAATATTAATTTTATATTGATAAATCATTGGTTTTCAATAGACTATTTGTAATTTTGTAATGTATTATTGATTGCATGTTTTTTATAGATGAAGCATTATATCAATTATTATAAATTTGTATGATATCTTCATATGTTGAGTTTAGATTATGAATATTATACTATTAATTCAACTATTTTAGTAGAGAATAATTACCTTTAAATTTTAAAGATTGTAAGATATTAGATTTACTGACAAAACCTTTTCAAACTCTATCAATGTTCATTGACTGCCCAAAACCAAAATATATTCGATTTCTATCATCAGTATGACTTGAAACAACAAGTTAATATACTCATTATTAATTGTTTACGTTTCACATATCATACTGAAATGACATAGTTTTAATTAGTTAATAATGCGTAATCCACAAAATTTATTACTTCCTCAAATTGATTTGCCTATGTAATTAATTAATAATGATTAAGAATATAGCATACACTATTAAATCTTCCTACCATTTCTATTTAATATATCCATTTTATTTTTCTTATTTATTTAATTAATGAAAAGTTCCCTTTTTTATTATCCTTTTAATAGATTGACCAATTTTATGAACATCTCTTCCTCTCCTCTAATATAACATTTGATCATCATCAAATTTTACTGTCTATAAAGAAAAATTTAATATTTTTTTTCTCATTTCTTGAATTAATAAGATAAATCTTTCTGATATCGATTCTTCATAGATATTAGATTAAATAACAAAATCTGAATTCTTCTTCTTCAATTTCACAGAAAAATTAATTAAACCTTCTTATTTTGTATTATGATTTAAAAAGTTCAAATAGAACCTCTGAATCCTTTGGAGTAGTTGGACGAATGTTGTATCGATCTATAGAATTTATTCAAGCAAAATAAGATTATTATCATCATTTTTAAAAAGATTCTCAAATTCCTTTTTCTAACTCTTATACAAAATTTTAATTCTATTTCTTTTAAATTACTTAAATATTAAGCTCGATGAATTCTTCAAAGGCAATAGAAAATCATTATATAGTTTTACAATTTGTTCAATTTTTCTAATATAATTTTAGCCATCTTTAAATGTACTAGATAAACTGATAAACTTAATATAATTTTGACAATTTTATAAAACTCTAAAATCAGAATAATAATATTTCTAGATTTTTATATGATGAATAATTTGAAATATATTTTCAATAGTAAATAAAGAGCTTTATTCTGGAATATAAAAATATCAATGACACTGATAATTGAAGACAATAGGAAAGTCATGTATTTTTGAAACCCACTAAATAGAATTTAAATACATTTTGAGTTTAATATCAATAGAATTGGTAATTGAAACAATACTCAAAGGCTAAATGATATAAATAAAATTAAGCATTTGACTTAAAATGTACAAATTTAATTAAAATTGAAGGATGCTTTAGTAGTCTAAAAATTAATTGATTTCTTCGATTATTAATAGTTATATTAAAGAAAAGAAGAAAATCTTCAAGCCATACTAGGTTAGCTTAAAACAAATTGGTATAAAGGATTAAGCTTTTGTATACCATTTAATGGAATTGATTCCACATACTATCGTAAACCATTCATAACTATTTTATTTGGATTAAGTGCAATAATAAGAGACAATTTAAATAAATTTTAGTATATTTTAATTTAACTAATTAATTGATTACTTCCAAAAACCTGTACTCTCAGAACCGATGAAGTGAAGTATAAGTTATGTGTATATTTGTTGGCTTATTTATACGCCTATTAATGGGCCTGATTAAATAGTTTAAAGACCTTCCTTAGCCTAGCTGTACTCATGCCTAAACTACCTATATCGTATTTTGTGAATGATTAGCTTCAGGGCCTACAACATATATTAATGTTGCTCATTTATGATATAAATCAAAGGTTTTTTGCTGATTTAGAACTACATCGGTAAAGGTTTGAAGGTCATTGTTACTTCATATGGAGCAAATATACACCTTACGTTAATTACTATCAAGTTGGTTTGGTATAAATCAAGTTACTATTGTGGATCATCACGTTTATTTTTTTTGTCTGTGTTTTTATAAATGAATCCTTATAGTTAGGTTTCTATTATATTCAAGTATGCTTTGGAGGTCTTATTGTGATTACCCCATTCAAAAAGGTCTCGATTTACATGTTTAGTAATTTTATAAAAAGCTACTATTATGTGATTCAGCTGTATAAACAAGAAGGAAGAAGTATGGGTACAATAGCTAAGGAGTCTAAGAAGTCAATTAATTAAGTCACTTTTAAATGCAAATCAAAAAATTTGGACAAAAGTTAATAAAAGCAAATTTATCAAAAGAGAAGGTTCATAAGCTGATTCGAAGGTTGAACGCACTTATCAATGAAGTATCGACATATATGATAAACAATTTCGACTTCTATATTATAGTTTAATTAATAAATCTCTTCTTAAGGATTTAATTTGGAGATTTTCTACTTTTAGATATTATTTACTCTAAATATATAAAGGATTTATTTAATAAACTTTAATATTATTAAATATAAGAAAATAATAATGATATGATTTTTTTGAATTGTAGATACTCATTGATTCAATTTCTTCTCACAAAATACTAATTTAATTAATCAAAAATACTCTTTTATTATTTTGAATGTTCCTCATTTGGATTAATTTTTAATGATTTCTCATAACAAAACAAAGCTTGCTTATAATGCTATTATTCTCTTAAGCAATCTTGTAATTTAAAGCCTAATCATCGTTATCCTTTATTGCTAACGCTTTGTCCAACCAAGTGATTGCATTTTTGTATTGTTTGAATTGAATTAAACATTCACCTATATAATTATAATTTAACCAACCTTTACTTCTTAAGGCTAAACTTATTTAAGGGTTGATAGCTAGCGCTTTATCAAACCAAATGTTTGCATTCTCAAATTCATTTAAAGACAATAAACATAAGCCTTATACAAAAATTTCAATTTACCTTTATTTGCGATAGAAAAAGCGTCCTTTGGATCAATGGCGATTACTTTTTCAAACCAGATCATAGCTTCCTCAAATTTCTTTAGCCAATATAAACATACACCTATTATATCATTAAGATTCAATCAACCTCTTCCATTTAAGATATATTTTTGTTAAGGATAATTAGCTATAGCTTTATCGTACCAAATGATTGCATCCTGATATTTTTTTAAATTCTCTAAACAATATGCTATAAATATCTATATTATTCACCCTTTATCATAAAAGAAATAGCATCTTTAGGATCGTATTTTAATGAAAAATCATTTATTTGAATGGCTTCTTCGTATTTCTTTTACTCAGCTAATTAAACACCTAAGGATTATAATAATATATTACCTTAACGCTATAGTTTAAGTGATTCTCCTTTAGAAATAAAATCTATCTCATAATAGTTAAATGTAGTTAATTATAATTTTTCATATAAAGTATTAAATGCATTAGTTAATTTCTGAGTTAATTGTGAAACAACATTTTTAATTGAGTATTTGTATTCAATAAAACCAATTGCAGATTTCAAATAATCATTTATTTATTACAAGGTGGAATTTTTTACTACTTCCTCTCTTATTAAATATTTTAATTAAATTCCACTTATTAATTAAGAAAATGATTAATTCATAATCTCCACAAAAGTTTTAAGATCACTAATAAAATTTTAACATTCTGTATTTTTATCTTTAATGAATCCAACCAAGCTGTTGATTCTTTAAACATCATTAAAATGATCTTGATGGATTCTTTCCTCACATTTAGAGCAATTCAATCTGAAGTCTGTGCACTACTAGTTATAACAAATGGTTTCGATCTACTCATTATGATCATCTTATTAACATTTTTTCAGCTAATACCCTGACTATCCCATATTTATTTTAAATATTATTTCTAGATTTATTTTACTTTTTGATTCTTTTGTGACTAATAACAAATATTGAACTTCAAATACAATTTAAGCTATTTGTTATCAGACATCGTAAAGACACTGCTATAAATTTATTTTTCTGGTAATAATAATAATCGTATTAAAATTAGTGGTGATAAGAAAATTGTTTTTAAAATGAAAAACTGATTAAGAATGCTTTGCATAAATCATAAAAACTTGCAATCGATCTACATCTATTAAGCAAATGAAGTATGGTGATAATTTAAACAATCATGTTTATATATAATTAGAAATTAATGTACTAATAATTGTAGTTTAATTAGAATTAAATTAAAATATAAAAGGAAATTGATTTAATAATTTAAAGTTCAATATAAGCTTATAGTCGAATAAATAATTTACAATATTAATTTATGTATTAAAATTGAATCCACTTCCTCCATCAGAAGATGATTTTTGTTACTATTTCTAATTTTTAACTACTTATGAAGTGTAAAGGTTCGTTAAGGATTAGAAACGACATATATAATATTTTCTAATTTCATGATGAAACTGAGCCTGAATTTGAATAAAATGAGTTCATTTTATTATAATAATAGCTCTATTTATGAAATAGCCAAAATTACTGTCCAAAAGAAAAGGCTTGATATATTCAAGTATGTCACCTTTTTTATAACATGTGTTTAAATTCTATATCTATAACAAGCTGAGTTCCTTATTTCAATATTTTGAATTCTTAGGATCAGAACAAATCTGTGATTAGAGTGAAAAAATGGGTAAAATTCAAAAGTCTTCTTACAATTAATAAATATAAGTATTTGCATCAATTCAAAAAGAAGCGTTAAATTAGAGTTGAATAACAATACTCAAATTCAAACAAATTAATTTTGCATAGTATCTTTTTTAGATCAATTTCCAAATTTTAAGTCAGTTTATATAAGTAGTTATCACAATTTGAGGAATAAAATTAAAAAAAAAGTAATTGCCTTGGGAAATAATTAAGTTGAAGGGAATGTTATCTTAAACGTATAAATAATTATTTTGTAATTTTCTATTCACTTATTGCATAAATGA